AAAAGAAGTATTTGATTATCGAAACTGCAAAAAGATTGATGATGGGTCCCAAAAGAAATTTAAAGGTTCAAACTTTATAGATTTAACAGATACTACTACCAAGGGTATGGACTTGAATACTATTCAAATTTTGTCTGATAATGAAGATGAGTCAAGAAAATGCCATCAAACTGTGTTTCCATGGCTTAAATCTGAACCGGGTATCTGTAAAAATGGTGATGTATCAAAGGAGAAAGATAATAAAAAGCTATTAGGGTTTCCGATTTTTGGGAACTTTTGTAAAAATGATGCTTCTTCTTGTGTTGTTTCGACCTCTGCATCAATTGAAAAAAGAGGGATCGACATCAATGTAGCTTGGGATGATGTCAATGATGAGAAACGGATTGATGTGGAAGAAACAGAGGCAGAAATCAAGAATTTCAAGAATCATTTTGATTTGAATTCGTGTGTGACAGAGGATGATGAACTGTTAGTTACAGTTACAACAGAGTCTGTAAAGAGCTCGAAGAAGAAGATGACAATGGAGATAGATTTGGAAGCACCTGCTGTTTCGGAGATCGAGGAAGAAGCAATCCAGTGTGGGGAGGAACACAAGAAAACTGTACAACTTGAAAAGATTGCGGTTGAAGCAATCGTTGAGATATCCAGTCAGCAAGAAGATGAAGCGGGCCCCATGGAAAATGATGATCCGCTTTTATGGTTTGTTGAGGTGATGGAGAAAAACACGGTTTTTGCAACGCATGAGACGGATGAATATGAGATGTTGACTTTACAGATGGAAGAGAGTAAAGAAGAAGATTACATGCCTGCCCCTCTGGTTCCTGATGTTCAGGAACCAGATGAGGTGGGGCCGGGGCCTGCTCTGTCGAGCAGGCCCCGGAGAGGGCAGGCAAGAAGAGGTAGGCCCCGGAGGGATTTCCAAAGGGATATCCTTCCGGGGATGGAGTCTTTATCAAGACATGAGATAACTGAAGATCTTCAGATATTTGGAGGGTTGATGAGAGCTACAGGGCATTCTTGGAATTTTGGAACAATGAAGAGGAATGGGAAAAGAGTTGGGGCTCGGGGGGAGGAAGGGGAAGGTGGTGGAGATAACTCCGGCTGCCACCACACCACCACCACCAGCGGTGGTGGTGGGATTGGAGGAAAGAAGCTTTACAGGGTGGGGGAAGACAACTAGAAGACCCAGAAGACAAAGATGTGGTGTGGGTAATGCGGTTGCTGTTCAGTCCACATGATCTTGAAATCTGAACCATGGATTCAGGTGATGTAAGTAAGCCTGGTGTGGTGTGTGTTCTATTTTGTTACAGATGTTTCGTGGGTTCTTTTTGATACATACGATGATCAAATTGACACGTGATTAGTTCATAGATTCATGGGGGAAAAAAAAAGGAATTGTGGTTGTTGGTCATGATGTCATGGTAAGATTACCAATCAAGTGAACAACTCAATTTGGCAATGTGTTTAGGTACATTGAAAAGTGCAGTCAAAGTGTTTGATGAAATGTCCAACCCAGGTTTGTTTCGTGTAAAATGATGATCAGATGTGTTTTCAAATGTTTTATGACTTCAAAACTATTGACCACCAATATATGACCTGACCCTCGAACCCAATTTTACGATAAAGAACAAGTAACTTGTGATTAGAAAAGCTGCACAAACAGATGGTATTTTTATTATTATTATTATTATTAATAAATGATGATTTAAATCTGACAAATTCTGCACATAAAGCTTTAAGTTCACGTTTCAATAATATAAAAATATTTCAATTCTTTATTAAAGATGCTCAAAATGACTTATTTAATAGAAGCAATAATGAAGGAACACTGGAACAGTGAATAGGATAAGCCTCAACACAACTCTCAAGAACAACGTGTGTCATTTAATAATGAAAATAAACAATTCCTAGTTCTCTTAAATTTTTTGACAGGATTGCAGTTGAATCTCTAAAAGGGTTTTTATTAATCAACTTATGATGAAAATAATAAATATAGCCTCTCTATTTATAGTTACAGGGATCCTAATGCAGGAAAAAACCTAGTATTAATTAGAAAACAAATCGAAACCCCTAAAAGTTAAAAAAAAATAAAAAATAAATGGCCCAACCCAAAATGACTCGACCTGGTTGAGCCGGTCTGGTTGTATCACCTGGATCCCAATTATTATTATTATTATTATTATTTTTGAAAATGGCAAATATATTATAAAAGATACCCAGATCTAGCAAGAAACTAGAAATGGAACCAAAAGATACAATACATATACATTAAAGGATTACAAACCATTAAAAAGAGAAGTAACCATTCATCCCAACTACATATTCCGTTTTTACCCTTATGCTTCAACCAAAAGAAAACAATTAGCTTAATACTTTCACAACCATGAAGAGTCGAAGTACCTTCAGTATGGAATAATCGTTTATTCCTAAACCTCCATAGATTCCAAAGCAAGCAGTAACATATGACAACAAACGTTTCCTTTTTCCTTTAGCTATTACACCTGGTGGCTGCCAGATGAAGAAAAACACCTACATTATTGAATGGGGGCAAATCACCTGGTACACCACACCAGCTTAACAGTAGCAAACGGACACTCCATCAAAACATGGTCGGTACATTCAGGCGACCCAATACAGACACTGCATAGCAATGAGTTTACCATAATACCCTTTTTCTCCAAAGTCAGATCTGTAGGAATTCTGTCTTGGACAACCCTCCATATGAAACATGACACCTTGATCGGAACCACATCCAAAGTATCAGGAACGTTTCCATACATAGAATCAACAATCTTCCTAAGAGAACAGACTGAGTACCTGCCATCAACATTTAGCCTGCAATTCCAATAGTCTGAACCCGACCTTAACTGAATGCCAGATACATCACTAGAAAGAATGCTAACATCAGGGTCTAATCCTAGGTCAGCAGGTCTAGACTTCCAATTTCATCCATAATTCGAACCACCAATTCTGTCAGCTACAGTGCAACATTTCCTAGATTCCAATTCAAATAAGGAGGGATATTTTACCTTTAAACTCCCTGACCCGAGCAAAGAATCATACCAAAACAGAGATTCATTCCCAGATTTGATCACCAATTTGAAAATGTCTTGGACGTTTATACCTTGCTCAAGCTGTGTCTTTTTAATTCTACCGATATTATTCCAAACGCCACAATATGTGTTTCTAGAAAGATAATCAAATGGCTTATCCGCTAAGTTATGGATCCCATAAATCACTTGGCCCAGAGGGAATGTCTGCCATTCTTTAGTCGCCACCACCATTTTACAAGTAACCCAATATTTAAGGCTTTTTATGGAACCCACTTCCAAACCCCCATTACATTTAGTTGTCAGCACCTTATCCCAACTTATCCAGTGAATTTTTTTCTTTTCGTCACACCCACCCCATAAGAAAGATCGTCGAATCTTCTCCGGTTCTTCTAACTCACCTATTGGAGCTTTGAATAACGATAGGTAATGGGTAGACAAATTCCCAAGAACTGACTTAATTAAAGTCAATCTACCACCGAACGATAAGGTTTAGCCTTCCATAAGGATAGTTTGGAGTGGAATTTATTGATAATCGGCTTCCAATTTTTAATTAAATTCATATTTGCGCCAACTGGAACACCTAGATAATCGAACAGAAGAGCACCCGCAACACAACCCAATAAGTTAACCCAATTCACAGCTTCCGTCGTGGAGGTTCCGATACCGAATACCTTTGATTTATGAAAATTAACTTTAAGTCCCGATGAGATGTGAAAACATCTTAGATTACGAGCAAGGTTCTTAAGGTTAGATCGAGACCATTCACCTATGAACAGCGCATCGTCAGCGTAGAATAGGTGGGAGATATTCGGACCATTTCTGGGGATTTGGACACCACTGAACAGGCCTTTGTCACAAGCCGTTTTGAGAGCTACACTTAAGCCTTCCATAGCTATAATGAAAAGATACGGGGATAGAGGATCTCCTTAACGAACGCCTCTCGATATGAGGAATTCTTTCGTCGGGGATCCATTAATGATCACTGAGGCTCTAGACGAACATAGACAACCCCGAATCCACATCCGCCATTTATTACCAAAACCCATATGTTCAAGGACCGAATCCAAATATTGCCAATTCACCGAATCGAAGGCTTTATCAAAGTCAACCTTGAAGAGCAAAATTGTTTTCCGATCCCTCTTTGCCAATGAGCAGACCTCATTAATCATAAGCGAACCTTCAAGTATACAATGCCCCTCCACATATGCCGATTGTTCATCTCCAATTACCTTCCCAATAACACGTTTCATCCTATTGGAAAGAAGTTTACTTATGATCTTACTCATACATCCCATTAAACTTATAGGTCTTAGTCGTTCAATGATAATGAGTCATTGATTTTAGGAGCTAAAGTGATGAATGACGAGTTACATCCCCTAGCAAGCGATCCGAACTCTTCAAAATGTTTAACAAACTTCATAACGTCACATTTAATGATGTCCCAAAAACTTTTAAGAAACTTGAAGGTATAACCATCCGGGCCTGAGGCTTTTTCACTTCCACAATCTCAAATCGCAGCCTTTACCTCCTCAATACAGAAAGAGGATTCAATTCTAGTGGCATCCATCATGGAAATGGACTTAAAATGCGAATTGATTAGTTTGGGTCTTGATACTTGAACCTCCTGAAATTTGTCACGGAAAAATCTAAAAACTTCCCCTTTAATCTCATTAACCTTTGTTGTCCAGCGACTATTAATCTTGAGACCATGGAGAAGATTCCTTAATGATCACTGGAGCAGTTAATTTGCTGGTGTTAGGTTTCTAACATAACTATTTTGTAGCCCACTTTAAATGTGAAATTATAAAACCTCACTAGGTCCCTAGACCTGAATACAAGACAAACGTGTAATATTTAGAAACTTTAAGCAATTAATGTGTCCAACGTGATAAACAAGAAGTAGAGACCCATTATTATACGTATCTGTGAATTTCAGAGAGTTTCCATGGCAAATTTCTAATATCAAAACTTTAAAAATCTAAGGACTGGAATGCAATTATCTTTTTGACCCGAATTCTCCAACCCGCTGTGAAACAAAGTTCCGGCCTTTTTTCATTTCTGTTTGTCGAAATACATATTATCCAGAGTCTTAATGATTTATTTATAAGTCACATAATCAGAAATTCGTTTCTACCTACCTCACTGTTTCTCTTGTTCTAGATAAACAATAGTTGCAATTACTTTCAAGATTTTGCACAAACACAACACAATTACCACCTAATCTACTCAAGACAACTCTTACACAAAGCAATAACACATCACAACCAAAAAAACTATTCACATGGAAATCATTTTCTAGAACAAAATTACCAAAAATTTAAATGATCACATTTTCAGACTTTCCCCCGGGTCGATTATATACATATTTTGTTCTTGGATCCACAACAAGCCCTTTCCCTCCATTCACTTCCAGGTCATGCCTAAAAAGCAAAAACCCATTAAATAAAAATTCAAATTATAAACCTAAAATAAACCAACATATCACACATGTAAAGTTAATTTAGTAAAAAATAAAAAGAAGTAAAATATTAAATAAACACTCAACTGGAAGACAAAGTCCGGGATGGTTAGCTGTTCACGAGGAACATATTTGAAGAGATGAAGAAGCCGCTCAACATATACAACCTTCTTCCACACCTGTAAGCAAGTTCATTTCCATTTACATATATACCGATTATTATTTATGTAAATCTTTATTTTTATTTTTTCTTTCAAAAAGTCAAGAATGTTAGGGCATACCATGTTGTCTACTAAGAGTTGCATTGTGAAAACTGCAGCCTTCAGTCCAAAACTTGGATGGAGGACATAGATTGCCTGTTTGCATATATATACAAAATATTAAAAAAAAAAAAAAAAAAAAATGGTACTTAATTCGCTTTAAACCAATGCTCTAATACCAAATTGCTTACATGGAGATTCCGCTGACTTTTCCTACCAAGTATTTGTTGTAATTTCCTCATCCATCCTAGATCTGGTTGCCTATTAATTCCATCAAGTTGATTCACAAACTCAAGATTTAAATGGATAATGTTGAATGCATCAAAAGATAAAGCATGTTTACTATTCAATGCATAAAAATTAATTATATGGGTTAAAGAGTACTCACACTTGTAAAGATGCAGCAGAGTGAAAGTAAACAATGCTATACGCCTTCTGTATCAAGGGCTCAAATTCCTGTAATTCCAACATTCACAAGAAAAGACACATTCTTATTAATCAAAACTTCATACAATTAATAAAATATTCGTCTATTGTGCAAAATTTCAGTTTATTATTCATATTACCTTTACTATGTAGAGTACAAATCTGTCAAGATCAAGACAACGAAGAAGAAAATGTGCTCCAACTATAACCATAACTGGATGACCTTCACTATCTACTCCCCCTCGATACCTAAAACAAAAAGTAATATGTAACCAATAATAGCAATGTACTTTCAGTATATATGATTGAATATAAATATATAAAATTATAAATATAAAGATTTTGAAAGTGAAACACACTACTTACACAATCTTCATTTCTGCTATTTCTGAAAGATTCCTAGAGTTTGCTTTAGCAAGGTATCTAGAATGGAGTGAGTACTCTTCAGCAGTTGAAAGTGGGGGCCCACCAACATCACCAAACCCTAGAATTTTACCCAATTTGAACCCGTTTTGTGCTTTTGCTGTTTTTTCCCATTGTTCTTTTCGTCTTTGATCTGGATCCTTGATTAGAGACATGAAATCTGGATCCAGATATGAATCCAAATATGATGAAGAGTTCCTTTCATGAAAACAATAAGTTTAATAACCCACCTGTCTTTTGTTATCTCAATCTGCTAAAATAATAGTAAAACAAAATGAGTTTTTGAGTTGACTAACCTTCTGGTCAACCCACGATCATTGATTGGAAAATCTATAAGAGCTTTGCGAGGTTTTGGAACACTCTTCTTCACATTGGGTAAAGATTTTATTCTGATTTTCCTTTCATCTATAAGAGTTTCACCATTTTCATCCCCAACATCAGCAGGAAGCTTCATAATTGCAAAACTTTCCTCCTTTATATCACGTGGAAAGTAGAGTGGAAGCAATCTAAGCAAAAAGGAAATCAAAGAGAAAGTGCTTAAATGGATATTAAAAAAAAATCAAAAGTTTATCCTGAACATTTCAAAGAACAAAAAAAAAATCAAAGCTAACCTTTTATATATATCAGTATCATTTGCTGTAGTTGTACAAAAGATCACTGCTGTGATTTTATCCTTTTGTTTCTCAAGAAACCGGCGAATTGTTCCTGATATATATAAGAATTAGAATATTAATAATGTTTACAAAAGAAACAATGAATTTAAAGGTTTTTCTTACTTATTGCTACATGTGCAGCTGGTTCTCGTGGATAATATTTTGCTTCTGTGTATATACAGCCAATAGCAATGCTGTGTATATAAATTTGAGGGCAATAAGGTCAAGTGTCGCCATATATACAACCACCACATGAAAAGGGACAAATAATTATTGGGTATGAGAAAACCTCTGAAGTCTGTTTTCAATGAGAAGTTCTAGACAAGAACGATAGCAGTGACTCAAAGCATTTTCTGCAGCTGTATGATATTTTACAGCATATTTAGGCCCCACAGTATGTATGATCCTCCTAAAAGAAAAATCAAAAACATATTATTCAATATGGTCAACTAAAAGTGAAATCATACAATCTAATGCATACCTTGAAGGTAGATCATATGCATTAGTAACTCTAGACATCCCTGTTCTGCAGCCACCCTATGAAAGTCAAAGGTTACATCAGATTATTATGGTATTTTAGAAGTCTTCTTGATTGTGATATAGACAAAGATGTAGCTAAACCAAGAACTTGATTATTTTGATCATTTACAAAAAACATTAAAAGGTGTAAGTAGAAAGGCAAGTTACCAGTGTTGAACATTCTTCAGCAAGACCAGGCCCTGATGCAGCATGCAAACCAGGGCTACAGTGTGCTTCATCCATGTTCTGTAAATGAATTCGATAATATACAGTTAGATGAAAGAGTCAATTTGGACAAATTCAGAATGATAAGAGCTCACCTCATTTGTGGAGTTGACAACAGCATCAACCTCCATATTCCAAGGGTTTCCTCTCCACAGATAAATCTTTGAGTTAACTTCATGATCAACTGGAAACCTTGAAACAATTCCTGTCTCACTACTCTCTGCCTCAGATGATGAAGCTAAAGGGTCTGGAAAATGTGAACTGGGATCTTCAATTTCATCAGAATATCTTAAATCACCATCAATCCATCGAGGAACTTGGTCAAGTGTCACAACAGTATCTCCACTTTCAGTGGGGAGTCCACCATGATCGGTTATGGCTGACACTGGCCGATACATCGCAATCGGTATCACTACCCTCCTTTTCCTTCTATTCTGTCAACTCAGAGAAGTTCAAAACCCGTCGTCGGACGTTTTCAAGCCCTCAACACACCTTCACAACATCAAAAATGAATCCATTGAGCTTCGAATTTAACCGACAAAAAGAATTTAGGGCAACTAGGGAGGCTGAGCAAAGTTTACCGAATTATATCCCTATTAGGCAACTTTATATGAAATTGAAAAGGTATTCTACGTCTCTATCAATGACATGATACTGAATCATTGAGTGTTGTAAAAACTATTGATTCGAGCTGTGTAATTAAATAAGAGAAAAACATGCATCAGAATCATATCCAAAATAACAGAACATCTCGAGTCATGCTAAACGAATTAACAAATAGATGCATTATGTTTACGATATCATAACACATACATACCTTAATCGGTGAAAACTATGGAGCTAGATATGTATTCCGAGATAGTAAGAGACGACAACGACAAGTTGCTGGCTTTGGGTTGAACTGGGGGTGAAACCAGTGTACAGACTACAGAGGTCTTGTTTGTCTTCTTGGGTGGATCCAACTGCTGTTAATGTGTCTGTAAGAATTATCCTCTTGGAAACTATGATTTTGTAGGAGTAGAATCTCAAGTGACATTGACATTTAAACCGAGGTAAAAAAAAAAAAAACCGCAATTTGTATACGTAGCCCCAATCCTCTGTATCCCCTACATTTGAGTATTAGCGTTTATATATCCTATATGACTAGCACAACCCAAAAAAAAAAAAAGCTTGTGAAAGTTTAAAGTTTTCTCATATTACATTAACTTTTATAAGCTGTTTGTTTTTAGAAAATCCTAAAGGTCTATTAGTATTCTAACATTTTTAGATATCTTTGACATAAATAAAACATTCTAGGGAAAAAACTTGCATCATAATCATATCCAATATAACAATAAATCTTGAAGTTGATCTAAAAAAACTAATTAAATAGATCCATCATGTTAGGGTATTATATAAAAGGGAGTTATATAATGGTGAGAAACTATGGAGCTATAGCGACGTCTTTCGAGTGGCGTGTAAGAAAATCTCTAAAAGTGAATAATAACCAAATGAAGTTTGGGTGTCTAGGTTTGGTTAATTAAATAAGCATAATTTTATTTCGTTAGTTTATGAATAATTTTTTATCGTTAGTTTATGAATAATTTTTTTAACATTCTAGGCGAGCTGAATTAACTCGAATAAACAATTACATTTATGTTTTTACAATCTAAGAGCTATCAAATATACTTTTCATTTTTTTTTTAGATTTTTTAAAATATAGAATAAATATATTAGAACATAGTTATCACAGTATAATGAGTGAGAATGCAAACGAGCAACAAGCTGTGCCGTTAAACTTTTTTGTACGATTAAAGTCAATTTGTAACATCCCAAAAATCAAGATGAAATTTTCATTTTTTAAAAACAATCAAAAACATAATTGTTTACAAAAAATACTTTTCAAAGTGTCAAAATCACAAATCAGAGTATCCCAAGAACAAATTTCATAAAAAATGAAGGACGTGTACGATCAAGTATTCGTCTTGCCCCGATCATTTGATGTACCTGGAACCATAATATAAGATTGTAAGGATGAAGCTTAGTAAGTTTCCCCCAAATACAACACAACAGAACATATACAAATAATACATATTAGGTCCACAACCTTCCGGTTGGATTACCTCTAGCCCACAACCTCATGGTTGGATTGCCCTCTTTTGGCCCACACCTTTTGGTTAGATTTTCCGGGTTTGTTGACTAGTAGCACAAAGCAATACAATTTCAACCAAACCACACTATATCGACATGTATAATATATAAAACATATAATAGCAACCAGGTAATCATGCAGATCTTAACCAATCACTACAGTATAACAACATTCTAAACCAGAATACACAATCTACTAGGTCATCATTGATGTCTTCGACCCACAAGTACAGTGAGGAAAACTCACCTCTCAATCTGAAATGTAGCTGAATAGATTACAGCTCCAACTACTAACTCTACCGATCACCTATACAACAAAACAATGACCTTGTCTCAAACTACTGCTCAAAATACTTAAAATGCCCCTAAGTCAAACCTGGTCAAACTCTTAGTCAAAGGTTAAAGTCAGCAAGACAAAAAGTCAAAGAAGGTCAAACTGACTGAATACGCCCAACATACTCAGTCTCTACGTTGAGTGTAGTTGAGACTTAGCCAAAAACACAGGACTCTAACTCAGTACGTGCAGTGTACCCTTTGGTACGCCCAACGTACTTCGTCTAAATTGTACTCTCCTCATAAGTGCTTAATTCTCAAGGACTTTTCATCCAAACTCAGATCTAGAAAAGATCTAAAAGCTAAAACCCTAACTTAATATACAAACCAAGTCATCATAAATCTTGCGTGGAGAGAAGAAGGGACCAAAATCACATTTTTATGGTTCATAATAGCTCCATAATAGATAAAGTTTCCAACTTTATGCATTAGGATGGTCCAAATAACCAAGGTCTAGTCTTTAAGTCTCAAAGGGACCAAAAAATGCATCTTTCACAACTTAATCCATTAAATACAAATTTTCAACCTTCAAATCTGAATCAATATGGTGTTTAGATGTATAAATTTTCCAACTTTATCAACAAAAAGTGGTGGATCTTCATTTTCTTCCTCCATTTTCCTATTCGTCTTGCGGTTATTCCTCACAACGAAAAACCTCTTTCTCTTTTTGAGGTTGTAAACCTTTTTGGCATTCAATATTCAATTCTTACCCTTTAGTTTTGAATTTTAGATCATAAACCCCAACCTTGCTAATAGTATCAAGGCTAAAAGTATCAAGGACTGTTTAGCTAGATTTGAAAATTTAATATCTGAACTTTTAAGATGTCTGAATTTCTAAGAGGATCTGATTTTTAAGATCTGAATTTCTTACATTATATTTAGTTGGAATATTTGAATTGTTATGCTGAATTGTAAAAATAACCATTTTACCCTTCTATATTATATTTCAATGAATTCAAATGCTTCTTTATATAAAAAACCGAAACGATTTCTTAAATAATTATTAAAAAAACATAAACATCATATAAAATCCAAATTGAACATACATCAAAATGAAAACAAATTTAAATCAATCATAAATATCTTCAAATCCTAAAAATTATATTGAAATCCAAATAAAATCCTACAAGCACATCAGATTTTTAGCACATGACATGAGCTGTGATTTTAGGGGAAAAAAAAACATCAGATCAGATTTTCGTGTCCAGACATTACCACACCAGATTTCCGCATTAATACATCAAGATAGGCATTTCTGAAAAAAAAAACTTTTTGAAAGGAAGCTATGATTTTCTTGTATAAAATTAAAACCTTTAATAGTCTTAAAATCACACCACCTTAAAAAATACAAATTAAATAAAATAAAAGTTATAAAATTTTATAATATTACAACAATTAACAGACAGTTGAAGCACAACCTCTAAGAGATTTGATAAGAATATCTTCATTTAGTGATCTCCCTACAAAAATCAAAGAATAAAAAATCAAGGCCAAGCACACACATAATATAAACCCTAATTAGAAGATTGGTTTTAGGTTTTACCTATGAACACAACTTTATTCGTTTTATTTTCTTGGCTTTTCCATTTTCGTGAAGGAACTATCTCATAAATCTCTTTCACAGCCTGAAAATTCAAGAAACAGCAACATACTTTCATTTTAAAGCTAAGATCTAAATAGCAATGTAGTTTCATTTATGAAAGTACATTGCTATTTCTTGCATTTAACCCAAAAGTTTGTACAAAAGATTACCTGTACTATGTGAAGTTCATCAGAGTTCACAACATTTAAAACACCTTTGCATCGATAAACATCCATGTCATATTTCTTATCCCAAAGTATCTCCTCAAGCCATAAACGCACCTACACAATACAAATTCTATAATAAAAATAATAAAAAATTATAAACAATTACATATTTTGAGGTTATAAAGTGATACCTTATCAAGATCAAGCTGGTGTGAATCACAAATACATATAGTTCTCACGCCACTATCATGAAGATCTTTGGTAGTTAGTGATTTATTTTCCTCTAGTAATTGTTCCAAGTGTGCAGCATGCTGTCATGTAATAGATTTTGGGGGTAAAAATGTCAAATTGGTATGATATTATTGAGAATAAAAATGATTTTTAAGAAAAAGGGAGGCTAAATTACTAACCAAAGCATCATATGCTTTGCAATCTAATACTATGGACATATCTACTTGACACCTCACAGAATGAACTATATCAGAAAGTGAATTAATGCTATGTATCTCTTTCTCTAGTTCTTCTAGAACATCTGGAGAAACCAGATCAACCTTGTTAAGAATTACAACATCCTACAAGAAATGATAATTGAAAAATAAGCATATGAAATTATTAAAATAATAATAATAATAATAATAATAATAATAATAATAATAATAATAATAATAATATCACTTACTGCAAATGCTATTTGTAAGAAGGCTTCAGGAAATGTGGAAGAATCTTGATGCTTTTTAAGCTGAAAACGGAGATTTTTAGCATCTACAACCTGTCCATGAATAAAGTTAAGTAATTTAAAGATTTTAGTTTTATTATTTCATGAATGATGAATCCAAACACCATAACAAATGTATCCCTTTTTATAATCAATTCAGTTAGATTAATCAATGCCATTTGACATCAAGAATACTTCCCATGTTTCTAAACAAATGGTTTTTGTGGATCATAAGCTCATTTTATCGAAAACGTTTCTTTTAAATTTCTAATATGAAGTCAGAATTAAAACCATTAACTCTACATTCGAACAAGAAACTTACAGTGATAATGGAGTCAAGCTTGACTGCTGCTTCTAGTTGATCATCCAGCCAAAGAATAGATGCAAGAGGAGCAGGGTTTGCCAATCCAGTAGTCTCTAATAATATATGATCCAGTCTAGATACACAAAAAGCAAAAATGACATGATTTTAAGGATAGTAGAGTTAGTCTTGAACTATTTAAAATCTTTTTGCTATATGAACTTGAATGATATATTGATTACTTGAAAAGAAACCAAGATTGCAAAAGGAATCATGGAAATTACTTTAAAAGGCATTACCTTTCCTTCCTCTGAACAAGTTGTTCCAATGCTTGAACCAGGCTGTGTTTCACAGTGCAACAAATGCAACCATTTGCAAGCTCAACCCACTCTTCAACAAGTGCACCTCCTTCACCTTCATTAATCATAGCTCTCTCAACTCCAATCTCCTCACCAAACTCATTCAATATAACAGCTATCCTCTTCCCATGTTGTCCATTCAATATATAATTAACCAGCTGAAATAAAAACAACAGTCCTCGATAAGTTTTTTGAAAGGATTCTCAAATGGCATACGTGTTATAATGGTCAAAGAGTTAAGAAAGTGCTTCGAAAATCATTCCATTTGTAACAACACTGTCGCTATCAAATTCCCCGACATTCTAAGAAAAAACTTCAAGCTTAACAACGGTGCTAAAATGATTAAGGAAATTGAAAACGTCGAATTAGGGATAGTACAGTGGATTTGCCTGCGCCGAGATAGCCGGTGATGACAGTCACGCCAACCGGTGGAAGTTCATCTGTGTTTTCATGCTTTTGTAAAGACTGATTGAACGATTGATGGTCTAGGGTTTCGTTGATCTCAACGGCAAGTGGTGGATCTTCGTCTTCTTCCTCCATTTTCCTGTTCGTCTTGCGGTTGTGGAAAACCCTTTTCTTGTTTTGAGGTTTTAAACCTTTTTGGCGTTCAATATTCAATTCTTACCCTCTAGTTTTGAATTTTAGATCATAAGCACCCCCAACCTTGCTAACAGTATCAAGGTCTGTTTGGTAACATCTGAAAATTTGATAGGAATGAGTTTTTAAGATCCCAATTTTTTACATGTTTTGTTGTAACATTTGAATTGCTACGTTGAGTTGTAAAAATGATCATTTTATCTTCTTATCTTCTGTATTATTTTTTAATGATAAAATGGTTGTTTATATATAAAACCAAACGATTTTTAAATAATTATTAAAAAAACATAAATATCATATAAAATCCAAATTGAACATCCGTCAAATGACAACAAATCCAAATCAATAATAAATATTTTAAAATCCTAAAAATTAGAGATATCGAAATCCAAATAAAATCCTGCAAACACATCAGATTTTCAGCACATCAGCACATATGATATCAGCTGTGATTTTAGGGAAAAAAATACCATCAGATCAGATTTTCGTGTCCAGACATTACCACATCAGATTTCTGCATTAATACATCAAGAAAAGTTTTTCCGGGAGAAAAAAAACGGCCCTGATATATTGCATCCTCCATCTCTGTTCAAAGGATGTGTAATCAAAATTCCTTAATTCCAAATTGAAATCATCAATCTTTATGTCAATTTAGTGTTATTTTAAATGAAAACATCATTTGACAATGGAGATTTCAGAAAAAATTCACCAAATATCAACAATAATTACAGATTCATTACCGATTTTAGCAATATTGATTTCACCCAGAAATCGTCTATTTCATCATATCTGGCGAGAGAAAGAAGGAAAAACTAAAGAACTGTGCATACCTGAAGGCGACCTCTGATGTGCGACAGTGGCGCCGGAGGTGTGGGAAGCTGGCACCGGAGGTATGGGAGGGTGGTGCCGGAGATACGAAGGGCAGCGATGGCAGCGTCTGACGGAGGCGGAGCGTCTGGCGGCAAAAGATTGCAGGTAATCGGAGTGTGCTGAGAGGGATAACGGGTCGGCGTATAAAATAGAAAAGAGACGAGGGAAGTCGGCGTAGGGCAAAATAGGAACACACGCCAATCCCATGTCTGAACTATTAAGAGGCTTTTGAAATATTAAGAGGCTTTTGATTAAGACGCGGATTGAATCGGAGTAAAATTAGGAAAGTTTTATTGGCTATTTTAAAACCCCGTTTGTAAGAGTAAAATTAGGAAAGTTTGTTTGGAATCCATAATTATGCATGTATATATATGTATACGTACATGAATTACTGAATACTATATCTATATCTCTTTTAAGGTTTAAAAAAATTAGGCAGTCTGTTTGGAATCCATAATTATGTTTGTATATATAATTAATGAATAGTATCTATATTTCTTGAAGGTTTAGAAGAAAACATGGAGAACAACACCAACACGGATAATGGTTCTTCTCATTCTTGGTGGCTTGACAACACTCATAATAATCGTCTCCATCAATCTCAATGGCTGCAGTCAACTTTATCAGGTTTGATTTTCTCTTTCTGTCAAGATTAAATACATAATTTTCAACAAAACCCATGATTTTTCACGTCTGTTCATGTTAAATCAACTAACAGAAACCTTTTTCAAAATTTATTATTACTTGGTGCGAATTTTGGTATCTAGAAGTCGACGCTTTGACTATAAAAGTCAAATTAAGGGTATGAAACCCTAGTAAGTTTGTGTTGTTTTTATGATTTTATCCATGCATGTAGAGTTGGAGAAGAAGGTAAAAAACATATTAAGTTTTATTGAAGACGATGGGGATACATTTGCAGAAAGGGCTGAGATGTTCTACAAAAAGAGGCCTTTACTCATTAAATCCGTTGAAGATCTTCAAGAATCCTACAAACTTTTGGCTGGAAACTACGACCAGTTATTGAAAAGATATGAAAATCTACGTGCATTTTCCAAATTGGATTCCCACATCTTTGCAAACCCTAACCGGTTTTCTCCAAAAGTACTTCAGAGTTGTGATCACAACTTTGAAGATGAGCTAAAGAAAAAGAGATACGAGTTTTTTCAGTTTGCTGATGATTTAGAAAATCGTTGTGATGAGATGAGGTTGAGTGTGATGAAACTTGTTGAAGATAATTTAGAGCTGCAGGCTGAGCTGGTGAAAAGGAATGATCGGAAAAGAGAAGCCATTAATGAGTTGCGAGCTCATGTGAAGAAGCTTGTTGGTGAGAACAATGAATTGAAGAGTAAGTTAGCTCGAATGGAAGCTGATGTTAGGAGGAACAGATCTCAATTCTCAAGAGCAAAAGATCTAATTTTCAAGAAAATTAGTTATCAATAGTAGAACACTTACCCCTTTTTAATGTTACATGAGGAAAGATACTTTGTTTTTTACCCAATATAATGATCAAATGTTTTTTGTGGAAATGGTTGAATCAATAAAACCAACATGTCACATGTGTCTATAAGTTTTTTTTTTCTTTCAAAAAATCGGATTTGTTCTTTATAAGCACGTTGCTATTTCATGCAATTATCCCTAGAACATTTTGAAAACAGTTGATTAGCATCTTTATAACAAAATGTTTGACCCTAAAAAGTCAACTCCCAGCTTGTAATTATATCTCCTTTTTCTTTCTCAAGAATCTAGATTTTCAACAAAAAGACTTCATGGCAACCCAGAATTCAATAACAAAATGAAAACCCAAAAGAAGTCGCAACATTTTGCTTTAAACATGCATATGTTACTACTCAATATACTATTTTAAAAAATACCATTTTTCAGTGTTTTTTTATCCTTCAAGCATGGCCTTTGCAGCATCTATGAGTATGGGTCTAAATTCATCTGATGCTCTACCAAGAACAGTGTATCCTTCCTTATCTTCAACATCAACATCTGCACCATGTCTGATGAGTAAAAGAGCTATCTCTTTGTTATAACATATAACTGCACTCATTATAGGAGTTTGTCCAGCTCTATCAACAGCATCAATATCTGCACCTTCTTCAATCAAAAGCTCACATAACTCTGACTTCCCTGTACTTGCAGCCCGGTGTAATGGTGTGCACCCTACCTGTATATGATGAACATCAAACAATTATCAAATCAGAGAAAGATTACAAAGAGAAAATGATAAGTTTTTAAAGAAAATTATGAAGTTACTAGCCTTGTCTTTTGAATTGATCTTTGCGCCATTTGAAAGAAGAATTTCAGCTACTTTCAACCAACCCTTGCTGGCAGCATAGTGAAGAGCAGTGCGACCTCCATTGTTTTTCAAGTTTACATCAGCTCCTGATCATCAGAATGTTGTTTTTTAGCAAGAAATTCACTAATTGGAGCCAAAAGTTTCAGCAGAAAAAGAATTATCCAACCTCTGTCTAGCAAAATCTTGACGATCTCAACATTTCCACTGCTTGCTGCAGAATGAAGTGGTGCCCAACCTTCTTCATCGGCACTGTTAATGCCACTGATTGAGTGATCAAAAGCTGCAAGTATCTTCACCACCTGTATTATTGAAATCAATGTTCAACAAGTATTTTAGAAAGAAGGACTCAACAGTGGCAGTCTTATCATTCAAACCTAGAAAATTTCAAATTTGCAGCAAATTATTGTGGAGAAATCAAACTCGGTCTTTACTTTCTAAAAAAAGGTTCGTGTTTTATATCAAAATAATCCTAAATAGTTCTTCAATTTGGTACAAATTCATGAATTCATTTTCTAAATGGAAGTAGCAAACTACATGGCAAGAGGCGAGATAAAATCAGGCTAGGAAATTGAAAACCTCGGTGCGGGCTGAAGAAACGGCGACATGAAGTAGCGATCGTCCGTCTTCGTTACGAAGAGCGAGACAACGGTGCAGCTGCGGCTGAGAGAGGGATTTGAAAAATGATAAGTCGCCGTTGTCGGCGGCTCTGAAGAGATCGTCTTCATTAATGATTTCAGTTTTGTCTGCTTCAGGTTCTGGATATTGTGGATCAATCTCCATTTCTGTCGGCAATTTCGGAATCGGTGGTGCTGTCCAGGGTTTTAGGTGTTTTGAGTGTGGTAGCCGGAGGGCGAAGCTTGTAGAGAAAGAAAGGGGGTCAAACTTCAATTTGGAAAACCGAAGGGGTAAGAATTGATAGCCGAAACTTTCGCGCATTTTTAAAGTAAATTACAAATGGCCCCTATGATAAACCAAAAATTGTAAATTCAGCCCAACTTTTCAATCTTTCCCTCAAATTTTGATTTTGATTTTTTATTTTTTTTCCTTCCTTTTTTTTGTTAGATTCTTAGACAAATCTACCTTAATATATACATACGTATTTATCATTCTCCTAATATAAAAAGTAAACAACCCTTTCATAGATTACAATAATATGGACATTTGTAAATGGAATGGATAGGGATGAACAAAATAACCGACCTGGATCAGGCCCGGGAACTGAAGTCGGCATAAATTAAGAACCGAATCGGACCGCCAGTTTTACCGGTTTCCGGTTCCAACCGGTTCTTGATGTGTCTTCAATATTGGAACTGGTCATCGAGAAATAGCTACATTCAGTTTTGATGTTTTTTTTTCCAGTTCTACCGGTTCCCGATTCTAAAAATCCATAAGAATATTGTTCCGATCCTGACCTGACCGGTTCCATCAGGTTTCGGTTTTGGCCGGTTCTCCGGTCCAAATGCTCATTCTTAGGAATGGAGGTTGTCAATGACGACATTTAGGAATTTGGAATCAATTATAATTAGGAATGTGGAATCAATTATAATAGATGGGAAAAGGAGGTCATTTTAATGAGAAAGAGGGATGATAGTGTGATGTGATAAACGGAGTTGAAGTTATCCAAAGACATGCTCTCAAATAGAAGACTACAATTAAGTATATACTAAGTCTTGTTTGGGTACATGTCATATATGCCCTTTTTAGTATGTTTTTCCGTGTTTGCTTCTTCCACTGTTTCAACAAGTGTTGTTATTTTTATCCTCGTACACTATATGTATATATTGTTGTGATTTATTGTTTGTATATACGTGCTTTATTGTTTGTATATACATTTTATGCTTTATATATATATATATATATATATATATATATATGTGTGTGTGTGTGTGTGTGCGCTTTATATTATTCTACGAATTCCATATGCTTATTCATAATCTTTGTATGTTTTATTACAAGAACATGTTACATGTGCTGGATATCATCTATGGACATATTCGTTCCACTATAATTGAAGGCAAAACTGACAACATAGACCTCCACTAACCCCATAACAATAGGATTACATGATGTGTTGTTATTTTTGTTGTTGTAAACAACCCCCCACCTATGTTATCCATACTTACGAATATCACCATGCTATAAGCACACCATTGTCTTCCCCAACTGGCCCTCGTTCACCTAAATAATCACATGGATCATTGTATATTCGATGAAAACACTTTGAACACCTCCAAATCCATAACCTAATATGATTTCATCTTTTCCTTATTGTTCTCATGCTTGATTCACTCCCAAACAAAAAGGGATCAAGTTTCTATATAAATTGGTGTTACCAAAGGAATCCAAATTTTTACTTTTTGTAAAAATCATGTTATTAGAGTGTGAGGTCCATATTTGGTTTTCTCAACATTGTACTTTCTGCTACCTTCCCTTATCTTATGGATGTATCGCCAATGATAATGCTAAACAAACAAAGAATCTAAGAAAGAAAAATAGAGAGAGGGAAGGTGTACAAAGAGATGAAATGGGTGGGTTCACTTAACATTGGAAGGAAATGTTGGAAATTTGGTTTAACCAATTTTCAAAAATGGTTTATTCCTAATTCTGAACATAAAATTCAAAAAATAAATAGTATTAAAATGATTAAACGGTTATATATTTGTGTTCTTCTCCGTGCTACTTTCGTTTTAGTATATTACACGTCTAAAATAGACTTATGATGGATGATAAATTAACCATTACAGTAAGGTAGTTAGATGAATTGGAAAAAGATATCAAGTGAGTTTTTAGCCATACCACATAGTTAGGAAAAGATAAAAGAAGTGGGCTTATAAGTATAAAGGCTTTTGAGCCTTGTAAGACTTATGGAACCATTGACCTTTCTTGTACATATATGAACCATGAATGTGCAAGAACCTTTTTGTAAACTATATCTTTTCCTGTAAATGATAATTTTTATGATTTCGATTAAAAAAACGCATACTAAAAACACATTAATCTTGTGATTAATCGATCTGGCTAATTTCTTCTTAAATGGGCAGTTATAGAATGTGTAGCATAAAGACCACCACTCTAATTTGAAAAAAACTAGAGACTAGAATTCAAAGAAAAACCTCTCACATTCTACTACTTATGCTCCAATTTCTTGCTACATAGAAGGTAAAATTCGGGCCTTTTTTAGGTTTGACGATCTTGAAGAATCGTTCCAAGTTGTTTTATCTTAGGAAGCAAACACCCGATGACGGGATGATTTGTTTTAATGACACTATGTTAAACATAGATCTCATCGTTTTCTGCTTTCTTTTTTGATATTGTACATTTCCTCGATACAATTCCTATGAAAAAACAAATCTAGGATAAAGAAACTCACCACCACCGGTTGGAGAAAACAACATTAGGAAGCAAATTTTAGGTGAAGATTCAAGTTCATGTCATTATGAGATAAAATAAAGAAATAAAGTTAAAATAAACTTTTTTGGGCGGTTATTTGAAGTCTCAACAATGATTTCATTTAATTCATTCAAAAGAATTAAACAATCATCTTCAAAAATACAAATTCTACGGAATAGATTAATGCTACTTTTTCTATAACCACCTTAAAAGAAAATTTTCTATAATTAGGAATTAACTCAGTTTAGAAGGATAAATAACACTTTCATAGGTAGATGAATTTTATTGTAAACTTAGGCCATCTACAATGGGATCAAATGATGAGTTTAATATGGAAAAATTGATGACGTTGATAGAAGTTGATGAGGTGGTTAAGAGTTTAAAGGGTTATGAAGGTGATGATGTGATTTAGAGTTTAATGGTTATTAGATGGTTGAACGAATGAATTATTAAATGATTATATATATATATATATATATATATATATATATATATATATATATATATATATTCTTTTTATTTTACTTTTAATAATTAAATTTATTTTATATTATAAATATAGTTTACTAAATTAAGTAAATAAATTTTGAATTGTAGTTTATTTTTTATTTATCTAAAACAATAAAAAAAATATTTAAACGTTTTAAAATGATAATGTATTAATAACTCATTCAAGTTTGTCGTACGCTAGCAGGCTTGATGGAACACTTAAAAAAACATATAGAAGGAAATCAAAAGAGCTTCAAACACAATCAACCATCTTTGGATATCATGAATGCACCGAAGGAATAAAAAAATAAATAAGAAAAACTGAATAACGAAAAGATATCAATACTTTTCATGGATCTCAATACCATTTCAGATGGTAGACGAGAAATCCGGAGAGACCATTGTGATAGTATTAAAATAGAATACAAAAAGTTATAACATTTGTATTTTATATATTGTACTTTTTAAATAATGTATTAGTCATAATTTTTAGTTTCTATATTGTAATCTTTACTTTGTAATTTGTAATTGTTGGGTTTTATTAGCATCATTACACATCAAGAAGGTAACAAAATAATCTACAGATTTAGGATAAATGCACCCTATATCTAGGTTTTATTAGTTTTAGCACCATATTTTAAAAAACAACAAATAAGAACATACTAAATCTTGGCTTCTTGCTTGAGATATTGTGATTGCTAGTTGATACAAAGGATGAAGGATCCAAAGTAGAACCATTCTAATGTTGTTAGACCCACAAACTCCAAAAGAAAAAAGGAAAAACCCTAAATTAGAGTTTATGCGAAACTCATTAACCCTAGGAGATGGGTTATGAATTTCGTCCAAGGATATATATATATATATATATATATATATATATATATATATATATATAGAGAGAGAGAGAGAGAGAGAGAGAGAGAGAAAGAGAAAGAGACATACATACATAGTATGGACAAACATATCATGGAAATCAACAATTAGGGTTTGACCCCTAGTAGTCATTTATAGGCAGCTGATGAAACCCTAAAGGATACAAACTCTTAGGGTTTATTCTTATCTTATCTGAATGCTGCCTTATCCTTATATGGGATGAAGTCAAAACCGTCTATATGAAGCTCTCTTTGAGCTTCTGGCATATTCCAATTAATATATTAGATTAATCAATATTCAAGCTCTTTAATTAATTAAAACAATGTAATTAATTACCAAAATAATTTTTAATTAATTTATTAATTCGTTAACAAATTACCAACTTATATTATTCGTTTCCTTAATGATATTTGTCTCATGACGCTAACCTAAAAGGACCATTCTACTATTAGAAATATCACCAAAATAGTTAATGACCTTGAACACCGTTTCCAACATTCTCCTACTTGTACAAGTCGTTTAACTTCTCATGGTATTAATATTTCACTAACAATCAGCAAATAGTAGTCATCCAATGCAACCAATGACATATATCCCTAATCGGACCTTTTTCCGGATATGGGCAAACATGGTTCAACTAATTAGGTTCGGCCTCAAAATAAGTGGTTCGACATCGGCCAACCAGGTTCAGCCTCGACCAACCAGGTTCATCCTCAACATGAGTGGTTCAACTTCGGCCAACCAGGTTCATCCTCAACACAAGTTGTTCGGCCTCAGGAAACTAGGTTTGGCCTCGACCGAGTGGTTCGGTCTCGTCCAATCAGGATGCTCCTTCCCAAGATAAAAGCTACAAGTTTCTTCTCCTTTCCAACAAACAATGGCCCGACATACGCTCCATCCCAAGACAAGTGCACTAGAACCTCCACCTTCTTCCCCAAGGCAAAGATATCTTCGAATATATATATATATATATATATACACACACACACACACACATGCACACATACGCACACACACCACACGCCACACGAACATACCCATGTAGGTAAGCGATAATATCTCCCTCTCTTGTACGAATCGAAATCAAATTATGATCATCGACTAATTTAACCATCATATGGTTCTCCTGGGACCCATTCCCAGGAGAACTCTTAACTAGTTGTGTTGTATTTTCGGTACAAAGCTTCAGATCTCCTTCGCATCATCAGATTCGAGACCTTCATAGAGACCTGGAAAAGCTAAGATTTAATAGGTTGGCTTTTCCTTGATATAACTGACCTGATTGTTTAAGAAATCCTCATTTTGATGTGTAATCTTTTGAGAAATTCTTGATGTAGGTTATCAACTGAAGACGAATCTGATTAGTTTCAACTGTAAGCTTCAAGAACATGGACTTGTGGGACTTTGACTTTTTTTTTTGCTTAGTTTAATGGGTCCTTTTTTGTCTTGTTGCCGCCATTTTAGTTTAATTTTGGTGTTTGTCTCTTTACAGGAAAGTAGTGAACTAGTGATCCACTGTAATCGATGTTTTTGTTTTTTTATTAGGCTGACCTTGTTTTTGCACAGTTTAAGAGGTATTGTTATGATTAATTTTATTTTTTGACTTGCAATCGGTGAACCACTCTACATTGTTGTATGTTTTTTTTTTTTTTTTTTTTTTTTGTGACAAAAAGTTTAATTTAAAGGTTTTATATTATCCTATTTCTGGTTTCTTATTGTTTAGTTTAAGGGTATTTTTATGCTAATTTTATATTCTTGTTTAATGGTTATCTTATTATTTAATTGGGAACAATGGAAAGATATGTAAAAAGAAGAATATCAAAAGAAGGGCCATCTTCAGCTGAAATTTCCAACCTAGCTTTATTCCACTGATGCCAATTTAAAGATGAACAAAATAAAATAGTCAGGTGTGATTCTTTTATGACATAAGTCTTATGCTTTACTAGTTGGAATACATAAAAGATTTGAGACTCATGAGAAAGAAGCGATCAACGGTCAATAGTCAACAGTTAATGTGTCACACCCCCAAATCGGAACGACGGAAACGTTTGGGGGCGGATGACATTATGTTTAGTATCA